TCTTGGCTTTCTCTGTAATATGTTCTTCATGTGGTTCGTTTAAAGGCTGATGTTAGTTTTAGTTGCAGAGCTGGTCTGACGTCTTTCGATGTATTTACAAAATATAATATGGCCTCATTGGCCAATGATTGGTTTGCTGTAGAAAGGATCCAGTAATCATCCTGATTAGCATTATATTTTTATCACCACGCTGGCCTCGGGAGTATAGTTAGGCCACTCCTAGTGTTCCCTTGTTTAGCATGAGGCTAAAATATTAACCCTGACCTGAAGTGGTGGACATTAAGTTAGGGATGCACTTGCACCGAGAGCTCCTTTGCACTTGTTTACACAAACAGCTTGCAAATGTAATTGCCACAGTTGGAGTAGATACTACACTGAGTTTGGAGCAGACTTGTTATCTGCTTCATTTATGAAGAGAAGACCACCCTTTGAACTGGCTTTAACGGTCAATGTCATATTTGTTTTTGCCCCCCTCGGATTAAAGCAGAATCTATACTTGTGGCGGTGCAGAGACCGTTAGTTAGGATTCGATTTTTGGGCTGTATCAGAGAAGAGACATTAGATGAGCTGGATCCTTTGAGGCTCCTTCGTAGAATCCAAAGGGCAAACCTTAATTCTCCTCCGCCCATCCATCCATCCGTGGACTGTGCGGGACCAGAGCTTGTGTGTTAATGGAGGACATTTTTATAATTAGGCATAAATGTAATGAATCACCTGGTCCATGCGGAGGCGTTCTTCGATGGGTTCCTTCAGGAACCTTGTGAGTTCTTTTCGCCAAGTCTGCAGGCTGCAGGTCTTCCTCCCTTGTCCCTTATTGTTCTCCTTCTCTGACTTCCTTTCTTTTCGTCATTACTCCACCTTTTCTTTCTCCCTCTGCCGTTCCTCTCATTGTGTCTCCTCCTCACGTTCCTCCGCCCTCCACATTAATCACATGGCAGGCAGAATAAAGCAGAGCATCTGTAATAGTTTAGCAGCGTCACTGAAGGACAGGCAGAGGTCGGCTAGCATCACAGCTAATGCATCGACATCTAGCGCACGCGGGCATGTGTGAGTGTGTGTGCGTGCACATGTGTGTGTGTGTGTGTGTATATGTATTAACAGTAATAGATGGCTTGAAGTGCATGCAAGGACAGAACGGGGACATGAGCCACTAAAAATGGATCGTTACCTGGTGGTCTAACACTCACGCACACACATTCACACACACTCTCAGTACATCTCCCTCACCCGGCTGCGCTGCTTTATTTGATCGGGTTTTTGGAGCATTTTTAACCCTTTTCTCTGTGTTATTGATGATATCAAGACAAACAGGCTCATTATTGACTCTTTTTTAACTCCTCCCCCCTGCTAGAAACTGGAGGCTGGTCTAACTGAAGAGAACTGAGGCGCCTGTTTGGTTGGCAGCTTGATTTGTTGCTGCTGCAGAGGTTTTGCGTCACTTTGGTCCTTCTGCTGCCAACAGTTCCTCCTCCTGCTTTCGATTTTGCTCCTGCTTGTTTTCCGATCATAAAATGCTCTTTTTCTTTTCCCTTTCAGCCAAAATGAACTGGAAAGATTCCCTGCTGATAAGCTGCCACACAAACTCCCACCGTGGCCTGCGGCAACAAACAAACAAATGGCATTCAAGCGTGAACTTTACAACCTCGGCTTTTATCAAAAACGCCAAACAAAGACGACTCCTTATCATTGAAGCTAATTTTTAATTTCACGGGTGTTGTTTTAAGTTTGAAGGACATTCTGCGCTGTTTATTTTCCTCATTTAGTTTCCCCACACGCCCTCGCCGTCTCTCAGCCCATGTAGGCCTTTGTGTTCGAGTCCCTGAACCAGATAAGGAAGTCATTGTGTCTCCTGTAATGAAAAGGCAGGGTGAGTGTGGCGATAGGATTTTCAATATCTCGCCGCGCTCGGGTGAAAGTGCCGTGCACGCGCCGCAACCTTGAGCATGGCGCACGTCAATCAATCCAAATCCATTTGGCCGCGTCCTCCCGCTCCCCTTGGCGGCTGAGATGAGCGTACGTGGCGTCCGGCATCAGCTCCTATCGATGACTTCTGCATCTAGGCTGAGCGAGTGTGATCGGCAGCGAGCTTTGGGGTTCGTCCCCCCTGCACGGCGCCGCTGGGCCATTCAGTCGAAATAACAATCGATGAGTCACAACCAACCACTGGAATAGCAACACAGGAAATATCACGATTTAGTGGTGCAGCTCTTAAAATTGCATCTTCTTTTCTCAAATACCTGACGGGAACTTGAATAGAAGACACCATGTTTCTCAAACACACTGCTGTTCATTAGATATATATATATGATACTTCTGTATTCATTGATCATATTAATAAAGTTTAACACATTTCTATTTAATGCCATCAAAATCAAACATGGACACACCAATCAAACATGTCATGATGTTAAAGTTGTGCCCGCCTACAATCGGTCAAACCTGCTGCCCGACCAAGAAATATCAGTCAGATTTATTATGGTTAAAAAAGCAAATCCAGGCTGCCTATCTATGAAAGAGATGATTGTTACATATCCATTTCATTATGGTGGCCTTTGAGGCTGGTTTGTTACAAGCGGTCAGATGATCCAAACTGGAGCAAAACTCTCATCAGTTGCCAAAGGTTTGGGGTTTTTTTTACGACTTCCCTCTCAAAGTCATCTTCTCATTTCTGCTTGGACCACTTTTAGCACTGCTGCTGATTTTAGATTTCTCCCTGAAGTCCCCGAATGCCTCTTTGCTCTTTGCCCAAAATGCTGGCCCTTCAACTTGATTTTCATTCTGGTCACACAGATGAAGTCAAAGGGCCATTTTCAGATATTCATTTCTGATGATCATCCACACAGTATTGGGTTCATTTACTGTCTGCACATTTGAGGTCATGACAAAATGTAAGAGGTCAAAATGGGAACTGCACGGAGTGATCTAAAACTAGAGAGCAGTGGTCCAAGGGCAGTGTTGGTCAAGTTAATGAAAAAAGTAATCAGTAACTAATTACTGATTACTTCCCCAAAAAAGTAATCCGGTTACTTTACTGATTACTTATTTTCAAAAGTAATTAATTACTTAGTTACTTAGTTACTTTTGAAAAACACGATTTACAACCTGAATAGGTGATAAAGCGATAGATCTTTCAGCCCAATTCTACTTTTTCTACATAATCTATCATACAAAATGTACGCAAATGGAAAAGTCCCTTTTTAAAACTTGTTTTATTAGTTTTACTCTTTTAACTTTATGTATCAAGCAAAAATTAAATTATCTGCAACATTCTCTGACTGGAAGAAATTTGTTTAATATTTAAACCTATTTTCTGCACATTCCAGCACATAAAATATATATATATATTTTGTGTTTACATTCAGTCTTTCAAATAGATGCAAGTAAAACAGCAGAAAATAAATAAAGCCAAACACTAAGTAAGTAAGTAAACTTTATTTATATAGCACCTTTCACAGACATATGTCACAAAGTGCTTTACAAGGTAAAAACATAATACAGTCATAAAATACACCATGAAAACCAATCTAATTAAAAGCTTTTTGAAATAAAAATGTCTTTAGCTGCTTTTTGAAGGTCTCCACTGAGTCCAAACCCCGTAGAAATAGGGGAAGTGCATTCCACAATCTGGGTGCAACAGCTTGGAAAGATCGGTCCCCTCGGGTTTTAAAACGAGTGTGGGGGACCACTAAAAGGTTTTGGTTTGCTGACCTCAGGTTACGAGTGAAGGTGTGTGTATGAATCAGATCAGCAATGTAGGGGGGTGCCTGTCTCTGTAATGCTCTAAAAGTTAAAACTAGAATTTTAAAATGGAACCTGAATCTGATTGGTAGCCAGTGCAGCGACTTTAACACAGGGGTCATATGAGCACCCTTGTTCGAGCGGGTCAGTAGCCTCGCTGCAGAGTTTTGAACAACCTGTAGGTGGGCTAGCCCTTTCATGTTTAGACAAGTAAACAGGCTGTTACAGTAGTCAAGTCTTGTAGAGATAAAAGCATGTATTATCATCTCGAGTTCACTTGTTGATACGATGGATCTAAGTTTAGAAGACTAGCGGTCCTGTTGCTCTATTTTCACCTGTAAAGCAGTAGTAGGGTAGGCGGAGGTTTGCCCTGGTGCAGGTGTGCCGCAGCGGTCAGTGGAAGAATCCGCGAGTTTCTCTGTGAATTTCCCATTACGTCGTTGCACACTCGGTGCTTGCTTGGAAGTTTAGGGGGGTTTTTTCGCTGTAAAAAGAAGATTTCTTCTCACACACAACGGACACTAATGTTTTTGTCACTTTTTATGGAATCAAATTAAAAGTAAGGTCAGTACTTCCACACTTTAAACGCTGCACGCTCATACTCTCGATATATTATCCATTGTTGATCTGCACACAGCTGTTGTCACGAACGTCGCACTCGCTTACGTCACTGTCATGAGACATTCTCGCAAAAGAATCACGGTTTTAGTAACGCAGAAACGCAGCGTTCCTACAGGAAAGTAACAGTAACCTAATTACCGTTTTTGCAATAGTAATCCCTTACTTTACTCGTTACTTGAAAAAAGTAATCGAATTACAGTAACGCGTTACTGCCCATCTCTGTCCAAGGGTGTGCAAGAAGATTAGCACGAAGGGAACATTCAGGGGTCAAACCAGGGGTAGTTTTTGCTTTTTTAACAGGATGGAATTGCACAGAGATGAATCAAATATTGTATATTCTCTCTCTCTCTCTCTCTCTCTCTATATATATATATATATATATATATTCTTTTTTTCCTCTTTATTTTAATTAAGACAGCCAGCTGAGAATGAGACGCTAATTCCACCTTAAATTTCTGGTTTATTCAGACACACGGTCATGTGATAAAGTACTTCACTTCCTCGCTTTTCATTTTCACGCCACGTCATCAGTTATTTGTTTTGCATGTCTGTACATCTCTGAAATTCACTCACACACACACCTCTCAACAGTAACGTCTTTCTCTGGTTCCTAACAGCCTGAGTCTTGGCCTGTGTTGCAGGAGGATGAGACGGGCGAGGGCCGCTTCAGTTTCCCCGGTTACGGCATGGGCCCCGCTTGCCTGCAGGCTAAGGACGGCATGGCCATCAAAGGCAACAACAACAATGCCCCGACCTCGGCCGCACCCGAAAAGAGCATCGAGGAGATGAAGAAGCTGTTCATCAGTCGGGCCAAGCGCATCGACACGGTGTCCCGTGTGGCCTTCCCGCTCGTCTTCCTCATTTTTAACATTTTCTACTGGATCATTTACAAGATCATCCGCAGCGAGGACATCCACAAGCAGTAGTGGAGAGCTGAGGAGGAGGACAAGGAGGAGAACGGTGCGGAGAGGAGAAGACAGAGAAAAGGAAACAGAGCGCTGACTTCGGTACAAGATCTTTTGCCCCTTTCTCCACCGAGCGTTCTCTCCTCTTCCTCTTCCTTCGCCTTCATTTGGTCGAGGAAAGTCACTTTCTTTGTGGCGGTCGCTCACCATGGCACCACCTGACGCCTACAGACACGATTTCAAATATTTATTATTGCTTTATTTTTCCTTTAATCTCCTCTCCTACCCCGAAACCTGCCCCGTTCCCGTCTCCTTCCAGCTCCTGAATAATCTGGACCGGTGCAATAGCAATGCAGTAAAATGCATGATATATGAATGTGGCAATATATTCAAGAAACGAAAAGTTCAACTTTTGCAGGCATCCCAGCAAAAACTGTGTGGGAGCAGTCGGACTGAACAAGCGAGGCTTGTAAAAGAAATGTTGTGTTTGATTTTAGCTTTTTGTGTGACGACAGATATAATGCTATGTGACGGGTGGGTTGTGCAAGAGCAGTGTAATATACTCATATATATTATCATAACTGGGAAAAAATAGGATGTTTGTTTCCACAGGTGGGCATCTGGATTTAAAGGATTTTTCACCCAAAAAAAAGAAAAGAAAAGAAGGCGGGCCGATCAGTGCTTCCATTGAACAAAGCGATGCAAAGGTCGCGCTTTCTGTATATCGAGATTTGCTTCAAACGTGTACTGCAAGCACTCCTCAAAGCTCCCCCTTCCTCCCGCTGCCATCAAGCACCGTGAAACTGAACCGACCTGTCAATCACACGACTGGACGACATGGGACAAACTATCTCATTTATCCGTGCTCAGCGTGTTCCTCTGCCTGTCCTTCATTTCTGTTTTTTCGGTTGTTTCTTAATGAATTTCTGTGCCGACTCAACGCGTGGCTCCTGCGGCACTCTGACGCGCAGGAAGGAGGTGCGCTCTGATGTCAGCAGCTGATGTCGCCTCGCGGGCTCCTGGGTTTTTGAGATTTCGCTTTGTTTTGGTGAAAGTGGACAGAGAACTACTCGAGCGAGGACGTAGCAACACACAGATACGTTTACATCTCCAGTAGTGCTTCCTTGCTTTGACCCCGCCTTAACGTAACGCCGCCCATCCCGCTCCCCAGCCGAGAGGACATATGTTACCTTAATTAACTGTATTCCCGCCTCATTCGTATGCACCGACTGTAGCTGCAAACCTCATAAAGCTACGCCGCCATCCACATGCAGAGGCTGTGATGAGTGGATTCGTCATTTGAGGCTTCATAAGTGTGACTAATGATTTTATTTGTTTCTTTTTTTTTCTTGTACTTTGCACCAGGCTTCTCTATGCAACGATCAGTATATGCAAATATGATTTTTCCCACGTCTTAGCACCCTTATCCACATCCCGCTGCAGACAGTGAGAAAAGGTCTTTCATGCTTATTGGTCAGAATGGAGACAAAGGTGTTGCAAACTGCCCAGGCACTTCTGCCCAATGCACACGGATCAGTAGATGGAGAAAAATATATATAAATATATATGTGTGTATGTGTTAAACTAGAATTCTGAAGGAAGGAGGTGGAAGGAGGAGAGTGATGTGTGTGCAGTGAGAACTCTGACAGGCTGTGATGTGAAATGTTCTTTTTTTTGCAAACATTTAATCAATCTCACACTATCTTTTTCTGCTTCTTACTCAAAAACCTGCCTTTGCAGCCAAACCTCAAAGGAGCACGTCGACGATTCTTTGTGAGACACCGGGAGGCCTGGCTCAGCCGTACTGCCCAGTGCAGAACCATTTTATTAAATTCCAGCTTGTGCGCTGCTTAAATTAGCCCGATGTAGCTATTATATATTATAGTTTGTGTTTCGTGGTTCTGTCCCAATCCTCAGACATACTGTAAGAGTCTTAGAGAGAGCGGATGAACATTTCCGATTATTCCTCTGATAAGCTCTGATCAGTGAGCCACCAACTGAAAGTCAACCAGCCAGCTAGACCTTCCTCGCTCTGACAATAAAACATGGATTATTTGTTTTGGTCTAAATATCAGACACGGGGAGACTGGCACAAAGTGCATCTCCACTGTTAACTGAAACAAACATTTCGCTGTCCAACTCTGCATTGTGAGAAAAAATATGATTTAAGACGCTATAATTTCATATTCTTTTTATTCTCAGAGACAGAAATACAAAACAATATTTTCATTTGGATGATTTCTTCATTTCTCTCCTCCTGCTGTTTAATCCATGAATCCGCAGCAAAGGGATTCCTTAAAACTAATTTGGGTTTTGTGTCTTTTACAGAACATCTGATGTAGATTTTAATTTAATTAATTCACTTTGTCTCAAAGTACACTGCGAGCAATCCGAAGGGCTATGCTCCACCTCTCCCTCTGCTCACATGATCCCAGCCTGTTCTGACTTTAAAATGGAAGTGCCATAAAATCTGCTTCAGTCCAAACTATGCATCTCATTCACCGAATCATTCCCAGAAAAGGAAAACTGCTCAAAGCTGGAACCTCAGAGGTGCTTCGGTTACTTACAGAGGCCGTTTTATTTCCACATCCGCGGCTGTGTTTCCGTGAGCTCCGGTCGAATCCCCGCCTTCACCCTCTCACCCCCCTTATCGTTACACCTTCAGAGATGTGGGCACGGATTCAGATTCAGAGCAGATCAGACGGTTCAAGCAGGGAAAGTTAAAAGGTGGTGTTTTTTCTGAAAACCCACAAATATGCATGTTAAATGAAGACCTCACCCAGGTCCAAAGTCACACTTGTACTTCTCTGCTATTCATGTATGTGGGAGCAACGAAGCAAAACAAGCTCACTGGGCCTTTCAAAGGCTGCTGCGATGCTTCTCACACAGCATTCTTGGTTTGAACAAAGTTGTCCAGAAATCACCTTAAAACTAATTCCAGGTAATAAACTCTTTCAGTTACACAGGTCAGTCAAGCAGGCGCAGTACTTAAAAAGTAAACTGTTTAGTGCTGCTGAAAGGAATATTTTATATTTGTGTACAGGGACAAATCAACGGCATCTTAAATGGAAGTGTTTGACTTTTAGTCCACCTGGCTCAGTCGTGGTGAGGCACACAACAAACTTTAAAATATCTTTTATAATAGAGCTTGAGGTGCAGCTCTTCCCAGCAAATGAACTTATGGATCCGTGCATGCTCGCCAGGAAAATCATCTTGGCAGCTCCTCTGAGCGACACGTATGATGCAAACCGTCTCTGATGGCCTCTGTTTGCAGTGAAGCCTCCTCTGTGGTCACGGCCTGTACCCAGGTGGGAAACCTCAGCCGGCTCCGTCTGATTAGGACGGCTCCTTTTATCTTCTGTGCCAAAAACACAAGAACATCAGTCGCCTGTTTTACATACACATGTACATCTTCTCGTGCCATATGGGGGTTGAATATGCAACAAAAAAAGAGGACCTAGAAGCATATCGTGCATCCATTCAACCACCATTTCCCAGCATTTACGGCCCTCCCCTCAGGCGTGGGTCTCGTGCGTGTCATAGTTGTTGTAGAGCTTTTTGTCAGGCCTCATGCCGTCGTATTAATCATTGTTCTCTGTGGGTTTGGGGGGGTGGATACTGTGGGTTGGTTTTGCATTGCGATGTGATGCAAACTGACAGAAGGATGAGAGAGAGGGATGCATTTTTAGACGTTTATGGATTTTAAAGTAGCATGGTTTGATTTGCCGATGATTAACGATTCACGGGCTTTTGCAGGGTTTGTTTGATTATCTTGTATTTTATTGTATGTACTATACAACCCGATGACCCCGAGGCAGAAGGAGAAAAAAACAGAGACTCTCGAACTGCTGTGAACTAAAGGAAACATTATTATGACGATTCTTCTTCTTCTTATTTATTTATTTACTTTCTTTGCACAAGTTGGAATGGCCTTAATTTTGCTTTAGTTGCTTCTCTCGTGTATTGGCACAAAGTGCACCTGTTTCGTTTGCCAAACTTACGATTATGCTCATTATGGCGCTTATAATCTGAACGTGCACATCAGAGCAGAATGAAAAAAAAAGTTCAGCAAATCCTTTTTATTTTTCATTAATCTGAGAATCAATATTTTGCATGAATATAAATAAAATGGCAGATATTTTGGCTTGTATAAAAAAATGTGAAGCAATTTGAAGAGAAAAAAAAAGAATGTACCGTTTCTGCTGTATCTGTATATATCTAAATATTTACTGAAATATGTCATACTACTAATTCTATTAATGATTAAAGGTTTTCTGAACAAAAATCTCTTTACCTGTTTTTGAACATTGTCGAGGTTGTTGGAGTTGGATCTTCTGCTTTCTGTTACTCGACTCAAGGATCTGTGTAATTGTTCGAGAAAAAGTATTAAAAATTGCAAAGAAATCCCGGCTGCAGGTTGTTTTTATTTTAATAAAGGTCAGACTTCTTTGTTGTGTTTATCGTGCTTTCAGAATTTCTTTGTCCCACCTACTGCTCATGCAAAATTCCTGCAATTAGAGTGCTTCACGCTAAGCTGCAGACAAGGGAGCAGGTCAACCATGTGTCCTAAAAGTTGACGTTAGAAGTCGGAAAAATGCATGAGTGTGAGGATTTCCTACAAAACTGCAGCTTTTGTGAAGTCTTCCTCTTACCGTCAGTATTGGCGGTAAACCGGTGACGGGGTCGAGGGTGGAGCAGCAGCAGACGAGCTGCTGTAGCTCAGACAGCCAGTGACAGAACACACATAGCATCAGTGACCACCAGAGGAACACCTCGCACTAAGGTGCATTATGGGATGGTGGGCCGGGGTCCCTCTACGTGTCTGAAAAAGCAGTCACACCTTTCCATCAAAACCTCTGATCCTGTTGAATCCAGGAATATGGCATGTGGCTATGTCAGGTACATGATGTACTCCAGGTAATGATGTTAGCACCTGGAAAAAGGCAGAGGCCTCCAACGGGCTCAGGGAGGGGCTGCGGCCACCTGAGAGCACAGAGGAGAGAGAAAAGAGAGTCTAACTAAGGGAGGGTTCAGGGTCACCTGGTCCAGCCCTAACTATATGCTTTAGCAAAAAAGGAAAGTTTGAAGTCTAATCTTAAAAGTAGAGATAGTGTCTGTCTCCTCAATCCAAACTGGAAGCTGGTTCCACAGAAGAGGGGCCTGAAAACTGAAGGCTCTGCCTCCCATTCTACTTTTAAATACTCTAGGAACAACAAGTAACCTGTGAGATGTAAGTGCTCTAATGGGGTGATATGGTATTGTAAGGTCATTAAAATAAGATGGGGCCTGATTATTTAAGACCTTGTATGTGAGAAGCAGGATTTAAATTCAGGGAGCCGATGAAGAGAAGTCAGTATGGAAGAAATCTGCTCTTTTGAATGAGACTTCCAGGGCAGGTCCTTTAATTATTTTATTCCCATTAACCTGTCTGCATGGCTCTTACTGTAAAACACAGCATTTACTTAGCAAGAGGAAAGTTGACGTCATCATTTGGACCTTATCTCCTGCTGTACTTTTTCACTGGTGTTTGGAGAAGGACCAAGTTGGATATAATATAAAAGGTGGATATAATGTATTTAATATAAAAGTGGAGGCAGCCAATATGGTCTGGACTGCACAAGTGCACACATATCATCAGTGTAAAGTTACAGATTTGTATAGGAATCCACGCCTGGAAGCAATTTAAATGTCTGCAGCAGGACCACAGGAGCTCCACCTGAGCTTTGTTTTTAATCCCTACACGTTTCAGATTTGGGGGGGTTTGTTTTTTTCCCCATCAGGATCTGAGGATAGATCCAGAAAGCTCCAGAGAAAGCTTCTAAGTTAGGTGTACACTATGTTCCCCATTTTCAAACAAACTGGAGCTTTTTCAACAGGTGGTCACAGAAATAACATGACTGGTAAGTTAAACAGCAGCAGAGCCCGCACTTTCACCAGTTCACTTTCTTTCCAGACTGGACTTCAGGAGTGGATATTTACCTGACAGAAATCACCTGCATGCAAATCTTTAAAGCCACAGGGCCGTTGGGCTCGTTGCTCATCTGTTAGTCAGCCTGCAGCCTGCACTCAGGTGGGAACTGCACTTTCAGTTTGACCTGGTTCTGAAGTTTATTGCAGCCGTTCCCATGGGTCAGACACTGAGTTTGGTTTCTTTTGGTTCTTCCTCTCTGTATCCGACATCCCAGCCAGTAGGAAACATTCCCACAGTGATGGCAAACTGGACCTCAGACAGAAGCTCATGTGTTCAGTAATGAAGCTATGTGATCACTCATCTGCCTGATGCTCTGTTCTTTGCTCCAAACCAACTGCCCTTTTCACTTTAATCTCACTCCTCTGATGTCATTCTTATTCATGCAGTCCACCTCCTCCCCATCTCCACCTCCTCCAGGTCCCTAGAGAACCATCCAAGCCTCCAACAACTGTCTACACTGCTGAGGATGCGGCTCTGCGTTGATGGCTCATCAGAGTCTAATCACACAGCTTAACTGAATTCTGTATCTCAGTGAATCATGTTCAGGCCTTAAAAAGGAGAAACTGTTTAGAAAGTTTTAATGATCGTTATAATGTTTGTGATAAAATGTTTTAATCAAATGTTCAAGGAACATTTTAAGCATCTTTATATTTTAAAAAAAACTTCCTGTAAACTGTCTTCTTGATCTCCAGTGTGAGTGAAAGCAGGATGTTCCCCCGGCAGCATGCAGAGCTGAATAGACTTGAGGTCAGGCCGAGTATGAAGGACCCCGAGTGTGGCAGACCCACAGCCGAGCGTCTGAAGGTCAACTTTTCACACTGTTATAGAAACTGTGCCTGGGAGGGAGGGGCTTGTTCTCAGGATCCCTCAGTCACAGGGACAGATGAAGTCTATATACACTCCAGCTTCATGAAGTGTCAGGCGAGCTGGTTTCAACAGGAAATCGATGCTAATCATGTCGATGGGAGCACCTCTTATATGTCTCCAGACTCCACCCAGCACGGTGCTGAGAAATGATCCTCTGTGTGTGTGTCCAAAAATTGGACGTTTACTATACTTGTGGGGACTAACAGCCCTTATGGGGACCAAATGCCCAAGTTTGAAGGCATCTTTGAGGCTCAGGATGTGGCTTAGTGTCAGGGTTACAGTTATGGTTAGGTTTAGGCTCAGGGTTAGGATTAGGCATTCATTTTGTCAATTAATATGAAAGATATGAAAACACGACTCTGTGTGTGTGCGTGTGTGTGTGTGCAGTACGAGCTGTTAAATCACAGTGAGTGGATCTGCGTCAACACGACTGTTTTACTAACAGGACCATAAACTGGGCACAGACATGGTTGTATACTCAGAGTCTGTTTCTGTTAAAGCTGCTCATAGGGGGCTTCCTGATTTTTTGGGGTTTTCTCTGTATTAATTCAATTAAACTTTATTTATACAGCACCAAATCACAACAACAGTCGTCTCAAGGTGCTTTATATTGTAAGGTAGACCCTACAATAATACATACAGACAAAAACCCAACAATCATATGACCCCCTATGAGCAAGCACGACAGTGGGAAGGAAAACTCCCTTTTAACAGGAAGAAACCTCCAGCAGAACCAGGCTCAGGGAGGGGCGGGGCCATCTGCCGTGACCAGAATCACTGTGGGTTCTTTACCTTTAAATATAAAGCATCTTGAGGTTACTGTTGCTGTGAATTGATGCTAAATAAATGAAATAAATTGAATTAAACTGAAGTTTCATGCTCAGTTGGATTTAAGTCAACTGATTTCAGCCCCCTTGTTTTGGCTTGGAGAAACGCTCTTGTTTCTCTTGTCCCGCTGCAGATTTAAATTCAGGGAGCCAATGACAGTCCGCGCATGAATAAAGCCCACCTGAGGAATCCCAAACAGAGAGATAGCCTGAATGATGGGGACTGTGTATGAGAGTGACTGACTTTAAAGTGAGGACTGTGTGTTTTAATGGTGTCTGCTAAGTGTGTTTGAGTGAAACCTCCACACTGTGAGCAGAGGGCTCCCTCAAAGACAAACGTGTCTTTGTCCCAAACATCATGGAGGGACTGCACACACACACACACACACACTGACCCGATCCAAACCAGCTGAACTCAAGGTCTGTATACAGACCTTGAGTAATGATACCACACTGTAATATACAGTGTTGGGGAGTAACGGAATACATGTACCGCCGTACGTATTTAAAATACAAAATATGAGTAACTGTATTCCGTTACAGTTACCGTTTAAAAAGGTGGTATTTAGAATACAGTTACTTTGTTGAAATAAATGGATTACACGGCGGTACTTCCCTGTTTCATATTGTCGCGGGTCAGGACTGTTTGGGTTCTGTTGGCGGCAGCGTTACGGTTGCCATGGTTACAGGGTGTTTCCTGGGTGAGAGAGCGCCTTTTGGTTGTTGTTGTTGTGCTAAGCTAATAGGCAGAATGCTACAGCTCTAAAGAATGTAGCCTGATGGGCAGTGTAGTCCGTGCTGCAGGGAGAATGGACTGCCATACCCGTTATGTGGCTGTGAGTGAGGAGGGAGAAAAAGGTGAGTGGAAAAGTACAAGCTGTCATCGAGCAAAAATGGGAGCTGGAAGCATGTAAATATAATAATAACCACTGCAGCC